TAGAGACGGGGTTTCACCATGTTGACCAGGATGGTTTCGATCTCTTGACCTCGTGATCCACCCGCCTCGGCCTCCCTAAGTACTGGGATTACAGGCTTGAGCCACCGCGCCCGGCCGAACTTTTTTTTTTTAGTAGAGATGGAATGTCACCAAGTTGGTCAGGCTGGTCTTGAACTCCTGACCTCAGGTAATCCACCTGCCTCGGCCTCCCAAAGTGCTGGGATTACAGGCATGAGCCACTGCACCCAGCCTGAGTATTAAACCTCTATGACCACATGTATGTTGGCCTCCACTCCAGTCTATGATTGGTCCACACCATGTTCACTGGTGACTCTGGCATCTTGCACATTTAAGTTTATTACTCCCAGACAGGTAAATAATACACCAAATGTGAAAATGCTCAGTAAGTAGTAAGTTACAGTAGACACTAAAATGTAGAAATACTATGATAGGTAAAATAACTACCTAATGATTGAATTTAACAATCCCCCAAGGGTATTTTAGGATAGATAATAGTGAATTTATCCACAAGCAGTTACTGTTATTCTTTATAGTTAAAAAAAAAGTAATGTAATTGATTTGAATTCAAACATACAGTATGCTAATTATTCTTTTGAGAATGAGATCTTTTAATATATTAAATATCTGAAATTTAAATATTAACATTTTAATTAATTAAAACAATATATTAATAATCTTAACATATTAAATTTAAAATATTCTACCTGCCCATGTTGGATCTCTTTGGATGTTTGTATATTAATGATATTTCTAAAATATTCTGTAATCATCAGTGCACATATATAAACTCAGTATTTTGGATATGCAGATGTCCAGTATATTTTTTAACAGGCTTCTAATGATGAAGAAAAGACGCTGCATGAAATTACTTTTTCGTGTTTCCATTCTAAATTACTGCTGGAAGAAAACCGTCTTTCCCCCGTTACTCCACTGACGACCACCTACTGCAATCTAATTTGTATCTACATTTCTAAATTATGAGAAAAAAATTATTTAATTTAAAAAAATTTTTAAATTTCTTTTTTTTACCTTTGTTTTACAGCAATTATCACAAGAAACATCTGGGTGTTTCTTACAAAAATCAGGATTAAATCCATTTTCACCAAAGTAAGCCAAAAGCTGTATTCTCCTGCATTCTGTTATATTTTCACAGTAATGTACCATGCTATACAAATTATTGAAGTGAGTCTCTCTTGTATGATGGTTTCCATCTTTTTCCACTAAAAGAGATGAAGAGTACAGTAAAACATACTTATTATAGGGTAAAAATAAAGAATGTCATAGAAATATTTAGAATAGATTCATATAACTTTAAATATTACATAAGAAAATTACTGTTAATAGCATTCAGTCAACATGGCATTCTGTGTTATAATTAACTGGGTATTAATGTTCATCCTCAAGATTTTAGTATTATCAGAATAAACGTTATTTTTTTTTCAAATTGTCATTATCCCCGAAGATGATGGTTCGACTTCTGTTTGCTGTATTTATCAGTCGAGCATGTGCTGAACTGAACATCCCCAGGAAGCAGAGCCTGGGATTCTGGCAGTGGCCATGCACTTCTCTGAATATCTGAGGTCAAAGCAGTTATATGAATGTTTCCAAAACTATGCGCCAGCAAGCCCCGGGTGCTGCAGGGAACTCACAGAGACAGGATATTTAAACTTAAGGGGAACAAAGTAATGTCTGACATCTGTTGAACATTACACAAATTAATTAGCTTGAGGTAGTTAATGGTATTACATTAGACTATGCTACATTCCTAGTAGCAATATCTTATCTTCGCAAAGTTGGGTTTTTGGCAGTTGCTATGATAAAAAGAAGCATCTCAAGAAAATCAATGTGAAACTGGAAATGAGAGTGGCAGTGTCTGATTTGATTCCTGGGTGTGAGAACTGCAGTGGCATAGTTCCCATCACTAAGCAATTGTCATTACTTAGGTATTTTAACACCAGGTGCGGTGGCTAACGCCTGTAATCCCAGCACTTTGGGAGGTTGAGGTGGGCAGATCACCTGAGGTCAGAAGTTTAAGACCGGCCTGGCCAACATGGTGAAACCCCTCTCTACTAAGAATACAAAAATTAGCTGGGCATGGTAGCATGAGCTTGTAATCCCAGCTACTGTACTTTGGAGGCTGAGGCTGGAGAATCGCTTGAACCCAGGAAGCAGAGGTTGCAGTGAGCTGAGATCACACCATTGCAATCCAGGCTGGGTGGCAAGAGCAAAACTCCATCTCAAAAAAAGGAAAAAATGAAAAAAGATTTTTTAAAAATATTATTTTTTCTTCCAATTTATGGGTATTTTCCCCCCAAATAGTTGCTGTTATCAGGACTTAAATATCTATGAAATTGTTTGGGCCTAAATTTTTTTTTTTTTTTTTGCCTCGGCTTCCCAAAGTGCTGGGATTACAGGCATTAGCCACCATGCCTGAGCATGTTTGGGGCTAACTTTAACATAGATTAAAAACACACACACAAATGGGCAAACCCAGTGTAAAGATTTCATTTTCTTCACTGAGAATCACTTGGGTTCTATCAAGCCTCTACCACTTACTAGTTCTGCATTCCATTTTCCTCCTCTGTAAAATGAGGAAAGCAAAGGTCTTAACTCTCAGGGTTATTGTGAAGATGAAATGAGTTGACGGTATATGTAAGGCATTTTGAATGGTAAACAGTAAGTGCTAAATAAAGACTGTAATAATTACCGCTGCCATACTACTATTACTCCCATTGCTCCTGCTTTATCAAGTCATCTTGGGGACAAGTGACAAAACCTTTCTGAAGCTCACTTTTCATGGGAGTACCTCTATATCACAAGTTAGTTGTTTTGAATAAGGTCATAAGGTGATACATGCAGTGTTGGGCACAGTGCTTGGTACGTGCCATTTCCCATGCTCAGTACTCCTGCCAGAGTTAATTTAAAAGTGATCTCAGCAGGGCACTGTAATCCCAGCACTTTGGGAGGCTGAGGTTGGTGGATCACCGGAGGACCAGCCTGGCCAACATAGTGAAACCCCATCTCTACTAAAAATACAAAAATCAGCTGTAGTCCCAGCTACTCAGCAGACTGAGGAGAAAGAATTGCTTGAACCTTGGAGGCAGAGGTTGCCATGTGCCAAGATTGTGCCATTGCACTCTAGTCTGGGTGACAGAGTAAGACTCAGTCTCAAAAATTATCTTATATAAGTAATTGCACAAATGCCCAAAAATATTTGTACAGGGATGTTCAATACTGCGTTGTTGATAACAGTGAAAAACCATAAACAAGATCTATAAGAGGGGATTAGTTTAACAACCATGGAATAACCATGCTATGGAACTCTAGGTAGTCAAGCTATATGTATTCACTGGAATGATAATTATATCCTACTGTTGACGGAAAAAAATTGGGTCATTTTATATATATAAAGTATGTATAATTCCATTTACATTTTAAAATATGTGCATTTGGAAAAGGTAATACGAAATACAAGATATTGCCTCCTCTAAAGGGAGGGGATGGATGAGACAGGAGAGCCTATGGGTAGGGGGAGAGGTTCAGCTCTATTGATTGTGTTTTTTTTTCTTAATCCAGATGGTGATATATGACAGTTCATTATTTTCTCCTTTTTATGTTTCTGCATGTTTCAAATATGTGTTACATGCAAGAATGCATGCAGAGATTAGGTCTGAAAGGACACAAAGGAAACAAATAACTAGAGTTATTTTAGGGGCAAAACTACAAGACATGGTTTGTAAACTTTCCGCCTTGTACACATCTGTATCATTTGAGTTTTACATAATAAGCACTTACCACTTTTACAATAAAAATGAACTAAAACAAAATTGCCAATCTGTATAGACACCTCTATTTTTTTTTTTGAGACGGAGTTTCACTCATGTTACCCAGGCTGGAGTGCAATGGCGCGATCTCGGCTCGCCGCAACCTCTGCCTCCTGGGTTCAGGCAATTCTCCTGCCTCAGCCTCCTGCGTAGCTGGGATTACAGGCACGCACCACCATGCCCAGCTAATTTTTTGTAGTTTTAGTAGAGACAGGGTTTCACCATGTTGACCAGGATGGTCTCGATCTCTTGACCTCGTGATCCACCCGCCTCGGCCTCCCAAAGTGCTGGGATTACAGGCTTGAGCCACCGCACCCGGCCTCTGACACCTCTATTTTTCTATGATTATTTAAGGAACGCTTGAGCAGAAGTACCACAATAACAGGGGTAGATGACTATCATGAGGCTGAAGATGATAGAATGTGTCTACACGGAGCCAAGCTTACTCATTATAAGTCTTTTCAGTCTGGTCACATCGTGATAGGTATAGAAAAGCAGGCAGTGAGATATTTCCCCATCTCTTCCAGCTCTGCCAGATTCTTGGTAGTAACCCTCCATAGATTTAGGGAGAGATGCATGAATCACAAATCGCACGTCCGGTTTGTCAATTCCCATTCCAAATGCAATTGTTGCACAGATAACCTGATATAAAAGCAAAAGCTTATTAGACTCAGAATGCACAGACTTAAAGGAACATTTTAATAATAGATGCTTCTAAAAGCTCTATCCTTTGTTTTACTTTAAAATGCACTCTACATAAAAACATAGTATCTTAACTTGGTCCCATTATTTAGTATAACTAATATGAGTTTGTTTTTTTTTTGAGACAGAGTCTAGCTCTGTCACCAGGCTGGAGTGCAGTGGCGCAATCTCGGCTCACTGTAACCTCTGTCTCCTAGGTTCAAGGGATTCTCTTGCCTCAGCCTCCCAAGTAACTGGGACTACAGGTGTGCACCACCATGCCCAGATGGGGTTTCACCATGCTGGCCAGGATGGTCTCAATCTCTTGACCTCGTGATCCACCCTTCTCAGCCTCCCAAAGTGCTAGGATTACAGATGTGAGCCACCGAGCCCGGCCCTAATATGAATTTTAATGCTGATAACTTGCAATTCCATTAAGACCGAAGAAGGTAAAGTGAAGTTCAGTGTGGCCGGCACTTTCTTGTGTGACTTGGTGGTGTCAGGTAAGGGAGCCAGAATCCACTGCAGTCAACCTGTTCTGTTTTTGCTGCTGAGGTGTGGGGATGTTGCTCACACAGTCATGATATCCAGGTCAGTGATCATAAGCGATGTGTTGCTCAGGAGCTCCAGGGTGCTCCCAGGGCTCCTCAGAGGTCACTGCCGCCAGCTCCTCCAATGGCTCAGGAACAATGCGTTCTTACCTGCTCCACTGCTTACCATCAGTCTTCCCAGTGGCACCAGCTGATCACACACCAACTCCTTTTATTCATCAGCTGATTTAAAGTCAAAGCTTGTAAAATTTTAATGGAAGCTCATGTGGATAAAAGTGTCAGAGCTACTTATACCAAAAAAAGGAAAAAGGCCGAGGACTGTGGATCTTAGCCCATACAAATGATTTAGCGGAAGCAAGGTGGTTGTTCACTTTCAGGAGCTTGATAAATCAGTTTTCAAGGATACCCATTTCAGTTGGGAATTTGGGACCTATTTAACCCAGACCAAAATATTATATCTCCAGGCAAAATTACATTTCACAAATAAAACTGCAAGAATTTTTTTTAGCACTTAAAAAAATGAATTGCTACTGCAAGAACAGTATTTCAAAGGCAAGCGAACTATGTGGCAGGCAGATGGAGGCTGATGACATGATTTCAGTAACTGTGATTACCAGGGGAAGGAACTCAAGCTCTGGAGTGTGTGGACAGTAAAGGGGACATTTATCAACACAGGAATGGCAGGGAGTGGCCTGCGCACTCGGCTAGACATCCATCTACATTTATGGCACTCTGATCAAAGGCAAGTCTCCTTGGAAACAGAGACTACTGTAGCTTCTAGTGATGGAGAGCAGGTGGAGACGCTGTACAGCAAGATGTGTCAGCCGACAGGTCCGGAAGCGTGACCCGCAGGGTTCTGTGAAGTCCAGGTGCATCGCCCAGTGTCGATGTGGGCACACGGCTGTGAGGCACCGTCTGTAGCCTCCAAGCGAGGCTGCGATGCTGCCAACTCTTTCAGAAAGCTCTTATTTCTTGAAATTGGGAAAAGTGGCTTTGTGATTTCCTTCTTTATTTCTGTGCTTTTAAAACTTCAAGCCACAATCATTCTTTGAGAAGAGTAACAGCCAAGTTTTATTCTAACTCATGAATCTAACAAGATCAAGTCTGTCTAGCTGGTATAGGCTAACATTATATCCCTACTATAAGGATTAGTCTGAGAGCAGAAATAATTAGATTTTTAAAAACCCCTGCCGGGCGCGGTGACTCAAGCCTGTAATCCCAGCACTTTGGGAGGCCGAGGAGGGTGGATCACGAGGTCAAGAGATCGAGACCATCCTGGTCAACATGGTGAAAGCCCGTCTCTACTAAAACTACAAAAAATTAGCTGGGCATGGTGGTGCGTGCCTGTAATCCCAGCTACTCGGGAGGCTGAGGCAGGAGAATTGCCTGAACCCAGGAGGCGGAGGTTGCGGTGAGCCGAGATCGCGCCATTGCACTCCAGCCTGGGTAACAAGAGTGAAACTCCGTCTCAAAAAACAAACAAACAAACAAACAAAAAAAACAAAAACCTGTCACTATTTTTTAACCATATTTTTGATCAGTTATATATATATGTATATATAGCTGCACTATAGATTATTTATACTATACATAGCCATTTAAAGGATTTGAAAAAACATCATTCTTTTTTTTTTTTTTGAGGCAGAGTTTCGCTCTGTTGCCCAGGCTGGAGTGCAGTGGCATGATTTCGGCTCACTGCAACCTCTACTTCCTGGGTTCCAGTGGTTCTCCTGCCTCAGCCTCCTAAGTGGCTGGGACTACAGGGGTACACCACCATGCCAGGCTAATTTTTGTATTTTTTGTAGAAACGGGGTTTTACCATATTGCCTGGGCTGGTCTCCAACTCCTGGGCTTAAGCAATCTTCCTGCCTTGGCCTCCAAAAGTGCTGGGATTACAGGTGTGAACCACCATGTCTGGCCCTTACCTGCAAATTCTTTCCTTATCATCTATTGTTTTTACATGTTTTCTGGTCAGTTCTATTCCACTGATCTGCCTATAATTGCAAATGAGTATTCATGTGTTATTATTTTTATTATTTTTGCCATACTTAGTTATTTTCCCTCGAATATGCTTCCAGACAAACTTTATTTATTTATTTATTTTATTTTATTTTTTTTTGAGACGGAGTTTCGCTCTTGTTACCCAGGCTGGGGTGCAATGGCGCGATCTCGGCTCACCGCAACCTCCGCCTCCTGGGTTCAGGCAATTCTCCTGCCTCAGCCTCCTGAGTAGCTGGGATTACAGGCACGCGCCACCATGCCCAGCTAATTTTTTTTTGTAGTTTTTAGTAGAGACGGGGTTTCACCATGTTGACCAGGATGGTCTCGATCTCTTGACCTTGTGATCCACCCGCCTCGGCTTCCCAAAATGCTGGGATTACAGGCGTGAGCCACCGCGCCCGGCCCCAGGCAAACTTTAGAAAAAGTTTATCAAAAGGGGGAAAAAGCCACTGACATTTGGATTAAATATATAAACTAATCTGGGAAGACTGCAATCAGTATTTCAGTGAAGATAAATCAGTGATATATTTCTGAACTTTTTGCATATCTCAAATGCCTTTTTGGTTTCAACATAAATGACAATGAGCTTGGTATGAAGTTCTTCAGTCCGCGTCTTCCCTTGTCTGATTCTGCAGACAGTCTTCTATTATTTTTGTTATGTATTTCATATGTATTTATTTATAACACGCTTATCTGTTTCAATTACCCTGCTTTCCTACTGGGTACACTTACTGTGCTTAAGCTGAATCCCTACCTCCTTTTGTCAACAAAGATTATTTTCCCTCCATTTTAATCTCTTTTTTCCTTTGCACTCTTAAGTTATTCACATCACTGACTCAACTGCCTCCCCTGCGTCATTCCATTTGTGTCTTAATATATAATCTGCTCTTAGTTTTGTTTCTCTAGTTTAGATAAATTACATTTTTTTTTTTTTTAAGATGGAGTCTTGCTCTGTTGCCCAGGCTGGAGTGCAGTGGTACTATCTCAGCTCACTGTAACCTCTGCCTCCCTGGTTCAAGTGATTCTCCCACCTCAGCCTCCCGAGTAGCTGGGACTACAGATGCCCACTACCACGTCTGGCAAATTTTTATATTTTTAGTAGAGACAGGGTTTCGCCATATAGTCCAGGCTGGTCTCAAACTCCTGACCTCAGGTGATCTGCCCACCTTGGCCGCCCAAAGTGCTGAGATTACAGGTATGAGCTACCACGCCTGATCATTAACTGAATTTTGATTTCTCCCTTCATCTAAGCCTGTGATCTTCTTACGGAAGTTGTTGCTAGTTCACATATATGAAGTCTTTTTATCTTTCTTGGGATACTAAACTGATAACCTCTAAAATTTTGTTTTCCCAGAGAAAACAATTTTGAGAGACATTTTTCCTCTGAATCTTGAAAGTAAATACTTTTTCCTGAGCCGAAACTTTTCATAGGCTCCAAGTAATTATTCATTGTTTTGTTCAAATTTATCCTTATGTTTAGAGGGACCTATCCCAGACTGGCAATTACCACAATATGAAATGCCTAAAGTGTTCTCGGTTTTCCTCCCACCCACCTGGGTGAAGGCAAACTTCTTATCTCAGAAATAGATGGCCAATATTGTTAGTTACTAGGGAAATGCAAATCAAAATCACAAAGAGGGCTGGGCATGGTGGCTCACACCTGTAACTGCAGCACTTTTGGAGGTTGAGGCAAGAGTATCACTTGAGCCCAGGAGTTCAAGAATAGGTTGGGCAACACAGGGAGACCTCATCTCTATAAAAAATTAAAAATTTAGCTAGGCATACTGGTACGCCTGTGGTCCTAGCTACTAAGGAGGCTGAGGCACTAGAATTGCCTGGCCAACATGGTGAAACCCTGTCTCCACTAAAAATATTAAACCAAAAATTAGCTGGGCGCGGTGGTACGTGTCTATAATTCCATCTACTAGGGAGGCTGAGGCAGTAGAATCACCTGAAGCTGGGAGGTGGAGGTTGCAGTGACCTGAGATCCCTCCTCTGCACTGCAGTCCAGGCAAACCAAAGTTCAAACCAGACATTGAAACCAAAAGTTATACGTGTGTAGGAGGGACTATTTTATATATATATATATATAATTTTAGAATTTATTGTTATCAAACTAAATGAGATTTTACAATTCCTAGAACTGAGATGGCTGCAATAGTCTGCCCTATAAATAGCAAGTTAATGCTGTCATAATGCAAAAAGGAATGTTTAATATGCAATTTTATATATCCTATTGTGGTACTAAAAAGACATTTATTTGTTACTTCTAGATAGTTCATCTCCAAATAGTTCTGTCTCCAAAAAAAAAAAAAGAAAAGTTCACAAAGACCATATACTATATGATTCTATTTACATGCAACATACAGAGTAAGCAATAAACTCTAGAAACAGGTTAGTAGTAGTTAGTAGATTTGTGGTTGCCAGGCCTTAGGGGGTAGGGAAATTGACTGGGTATGAGGTTTCTTTTTATGGTGATCAAAAATTCTGGAATTAGTGATGATAACTGTACAACTTTGCAAATATACTAAAAACTACTAATTTGTCTGCTTTGAAAGGATAAATTTTATGATATGTGAATTATATCTCACGCAAGTTTTTTTAATGAAAGAAAAGCAACTTTAGAAGTCTCAAATTTCAGTCTCATTTTGATGTTTACTACCTTCAAGGTAAAAACAATTTGCATTCTACATGTGCACGTTTGCTTACGTGCTATAGAATATTATTTCTATTATTTGTTTATCTTTAAAACTGTTACCTGACAGCCATCCTGATTAATCCACTTCTGCTGTACTTCATCTCTGGCAGAATCACTGAGGCCAGCATGGTAAGCAAGGGCAGCGAGCCCATCTCTCTGTAATGTGTCAGCCATGGTGTCGCATTCTCGCCTGGAGAGGCAGTAAATTATCCCTGAGTCATCTGCCAAGAAACCAAGAGTACTGAGAAGCAGGAACTTTTAACATAAACAACAACACAATTTATACTATGTTCTCAGAAATATATGAACCAAAAATACATCTCCTATAGTGCTTTTTTTTTTTTAATTTTTGAGACAGAGTCTTGCTCTGTTACCAGGCTGGAGTGCAGTGGTGCGATCTCAGCTCACTGCAACCTCCGCCTCCTGGATTCAAGCAATTCTCCTGCCTCAGCCTCCTGAGTAGCTGGGATTACAGGTGTGTGCCACTAGCCTGACGTATTTTTAGTAGCGATGGGGTTTCACCATGTTGGCCAGGATGGTCTTAATCTCTTGACCTCATGATCCGCCCGCCTCTGCCTCCCCAAGTGCTGGATTACAGGCATGAGCCCCCACGCCTGACTCAGGGTTCTTATACTGTTAGAACACCACACAGGTGAATAATTGAAGCAAAGAATTCATGTGCACTGGAAATGAGATGTGGCTTTTAATCCTGTCACTGCTAATGACTTGTGAGGTGGACCTGGATGAACTTTGGGCTCTATTTCACACTAAATACATGTGGGTATAAAAAAGCCACCCTTGGCCGGGCACGGTGGCTCATGCCTGTAACCCCAGCACTTTTGGGAGGCTGAGGAGGGTGGATCATTTGAGGTCAGGAGTTCGAGACAAGCCTGGCCAACATAGTGAAACCCTATCTCTACTAAAAATACAAAAAAAAAAAAAAAAATTAGCCAGGTGTGATGGCAGGCACCTGTAATCCTAGCTACTCAGGAGGCTGAGGCAGAAGAATCACTTGAACCCAGGAGTTTTGAGCCAGTGTCTGGTCATCTAAATTTTCTTTAATGGGCATGTATTAGACTTATTATTATGTGTGTTCTTTTTAGAAACAGAAATTAAAGGATATTACAGAAAAGTCATCTCTCTGTGGATGAGCCAAAGGTCTAGATACACACGTGAAGCTATTTACATTAGCTGCCTGGGGGAGGTGGGCCTGCACAGGGAAATGACTTTTTCTTGTAGATCTCTATTGTCTGATTTGTCCACACAAGCATGCATACTAATTTCCAAAACATAAAATAGAAATACCAAAAAAATTCTCTATGGAAAAGTGGAAAGGGGGTTACATGGAAAACTACTATGAATTTCAGAATCTCATTTGGGTTAATATAATTCAAAGGTAGACAGGCTTGGGAGAAGGCACTAAAACAAAAAGCTCTTTAATTCATACCCTGATAGAAGCCTGAGGAAAGACACTGAAACCAGAAGTTATACGTGTGTAGGAGGGACTATTTAATATATATATATATTTTAGAATTTTTTTGTTATCAAACCAAATGAGATTTTACAATTCCTAGAACTGAGAGGGCTACAATAGTCTGCTCTATAAAGAGCAAGTTAACGCTGTCACAATGCAAAAAGGAATGTTTAATATGCAATTTTATATATCCTATTGTGGTACTAAAAAGACATTTGTTACTTCTAGACAGTTCATTACATGGCTGTACTTACATGGGTAGTGCTTTCTGATCCATTCTAGGCAATCAAATGCCACCTTTTTAGGCTTTTTTGGTAACACATAGTATTTCAGATTATGTCTGTTAAAGCTCATGCTAAACCTAAAAAAAGTCCCAAACATAAAAGTTAGTTATTATGAGAAAATACGGCTTTAGGTATTGTTATGGACTACATGTGTCCCCCTAAAATCCTAACGCCCAATGTGACAGTATTAGGAGTAGGACCCTTCGGGAGGTAATTAGGTCATGAGGGGTGGAGTCATGAATGAGATTAGTGCTCAGATAAAAAAAGCAGAGACATCACTGGCTCTCCCCACCCTCATATGTGAGTATACAAAGAGAATCCTACCATTTCTACACCAGGAAGAGGGGCCTCATCGGACATGGATCTGCTAGCACCTCGATCTTGGACTTCCTGGCCCTCAGAACCACAAGAAAGAAACGGCTGTTGTTTAAGCCACTAGTCTACAGTATTCTGACACAGCAGCCGAGCTAACATCAGGTAAACTTTTTTTTTTTTTTTTTTTAAGATGGAGTCTCACTCTGTGACCGAGGCTGCAGTGCAGTGGCATGATCTTGGCTCATTGCAACCTCCGCCTCCCAGGTTCAAGTCATTTTCTTGCCACAGCCTCCCAAGTAGCTGAGATTATGGATGCCTGCCACCACACACAGCTAATTTTTGTATTTTTAGTAGAGACAGAGTTTCACCATGCTGGCCAGGCTGGTCTCGAACTCCTGATCTCAGGTGATCTGCCTGCCTTGGCCTCCCAAAGTGCTGGGATTACAGGCATGAGCCACTGTGCCTGGCCACTGTTAAGTGTATTTTATGTGTGATCCAAGACAATCCTTCTTCCAATATGGCCCAGGGAAGCCAAAAGATTGGAAACTCCTGGGATACATAAAGAGTTAACTGCAGGACAATAGAAGGAGCTGAAGCCCTACTGATCACGGTCACTTTATTTTTGTTCTTGGCCCCAAATAAAATACGGCTGACTCCGAGACAGACGTGCTCCTCCTCTTCCTCTGGTCTACTATTCTTGCCCCATTTCCTCCCTCCCATTTCCTCAGTGAGCTTGTTCTCTCCATTAGCTCCTTTCTTGTATTTTCAGTCTGTTCTGTGAATTTTTCTCCTGTCTCTGAATATGTTCTAGGACCACCTTTTCCAAAAACAGGAAGCCTCTGCTGATCCTACCTTCTAATCAACCTCTCTCTTTTCCTCCAATGGCAAGTTTCTCAGAAGATACTTATGTTCCCAACCAGCTAACTACACATCCAATTCCAATTATCATTAATTTTCATTTTTAATTTTGCTACTACCATTCTACCAACATTGTTGTTATTATTATTATTATTCCAAGGCTTTTTTTTTTTTTTTTTTTTTTTGAGACGGAGTTTCACTCACGTTACCCAGGCTGAAGTGCAATGGCGTGATCTCGGCTCACCGCAACCTCCGCCTCCTGGGTTCAGGCAATTCTCCTGCCTCAGCCTCCTGAGTAGCTGGGATTACAGGCATGCACCACCATGCCCAGCTCATTTTTTGTATTTTTAGTAGAGACGAGGTTTCACCATGTTGACCAGGATGGTCTCGATCTCTTGACCTCGTGATCCACCTGCCTCGGCCTCCCAAAGTGCTGGGATTACAGGCTTGAGCCACCGCGCCCGGCCAATTCCAAGGCTTTTAAAACTAAAGAAAGGTGATGGAATTGTTATAGGGTCCTGCCCTCCAGGGACTCCATTGTTCCTCCCCATTTCAACCCAGTGTCAGGGCAGGCACCTGTAATCCCAGCTACTCAGGAGGCTGAGGCAGGAGAATCACTTGAACCTGGGAGGCAGAGGTTGCAGTGAGCGAAGATCACACCACTGCACTCCAGCCTGGGTAACAGAGCAAGACTCTGTCAAAATAAAATAAAATAAAATAAAACAAAACAAACAAACAAACAAAAAAACCATGGGGAATAAAACCACTGGCTTTCTGTTTTGAATCTAAATCCAACTAGATGGGCCCATGCGATAGTGAGCAGTGATCTTTCTGCATTTGGTATATGCAGACTGGTCTTCTCTCAGTCTTCACTCTTTCTGGTCTCTCTGTATTCCACTCTTTTTTTTTTTGACAGTCTTGCTCTGTCCCCCTGGCTGGAGTGCAGTGGTACGATCTTGGCTCACTGCAACCTCTGCCTCCCGGGTTCAAGTGATTCTCACGCCTCAGACTTCTGAGTAGCTGGCATTACAGGTGCCTGCCACCACGTCCAGCTAAATTTTGTATTTTTAGTAGAGATGGGGTTTCGCCATATTGGCCAGGCTGGTCTCAAACTCCTGACCTCAGGTGATCCTCCCACCTTGGCCTCCCAGTGTTGGGATTACAGGCATGAGCCACTGCGCCTGACCTGTATTCTACATTGTTGGCTACTCTAACTGAAAATTCTCTATTAGGTCTTACAACTTTACATTCCCATGGAATTACTCCCCTCGCAATTCTAGTTTCTCCACCTCCGTCTCTTTTTCCTTTGCTCACTCCTTAAGTGAGAATCACTCCATAGACAACTGGCTCTCATGTCTTCTCTTCCAGTATCTCCTTCAGCACTCTCGCTGCTTTAAACAGCACCTAAAAGTCACATGACTGAAAGTCCCATGTGTCCCAGCTGTTGCCCTCACCTTAGACCTCTTTTCACAGTTTAAACCACATTTCAATATTTTTTTAGACAACTGGTCTAAAACTGGGATGCATACATTCCTAGGGGCTCACAAAGACTTTCTAAGTGTACAGGAGCAAAGATAATCTTAAACAAATTCAGATCCTCCATTTTCACATCCCTTGGCTTCCTATGTGGGATTGGTTCTAGGTCCTCCTCAGGATACCTAAATCCAAGGATGCTCAAGTCCCTGATATAAAATGGTGTAGTATAAGTATATAACACATGCATATCCTCCTGATATAAAATGGTGTGGCATGTGTATATAACCTATGCACATCCTCCTAATATAAAATGTTGTATATGTATGTAACTTCTGCACATCCTCCTGGACACTTTAAACCAGCTCTAGATTACTTATAATATTCAATACAATATATTAAAGAAAGGCCATGTAAATAGTTGCTACACTGTACTGTTGGTAACTATGTAACATTTTCCTTCTTTCATGGTGGGAGATACAGCAGAGTATGCCTACGCATCACTTCATTCATGGGGATGCAGCATAGTGCAGCAAATTCAAGTCTTGCTTTTTGAAACTTTCAATTTTTCTCTCAAATATTTTTGATATGCAGCTGGGTGAATCTGCAGATGCAGAAATTACAGATACAAAGGGCTGGCTGTCCTTTTTCCTAAGACTGATCTGAGAATGCTCCCACAGACAAGACATCCTGGCCGGGTGTGGTGGCTCACATCAATAATCTCAACATTTTGGAAGGCCGAGGCAGGAGCATCACTTGAGCCCAACAGTTCAAGACCAGCTGGGCAACAAAGCGAGACCCCTGTCTCTATTTAAAAAAAGACGTACTGCTGATTTCGCCTTTCCCATTTTTCCCTTTTACAACTGTCCTACTTTCTCTAAACAAACAAACCAGTCCTATTTTTGGTCATTCTGAATTTCACCATTGTGCACCGTTCCAGGATGTAAAAACCTCCAAAACACCAAACAAAGCAAATTGAAATATAGCATGAGTGTAGGTGAAACTTTCTTTAATTAAAGCACCAGAAATCCTTGGTAGGAGAGCCTCATTTCTTTAGGTGTTTTACTTATTTCTGTTAAGGGTGAAAGGTAACTAGGAATAAAGTATTTGGGCGCTTACTACCAAGCTCTAATTTGAGATTTACTGAGAATAAGGTGGTGGGAATGAAGATGGCCTTCACTTTGTGATGTTGTTTCTTTCATCTCTATAACCACAGCATGCACTACCCCAAAAGCCTTTGTGACGACTGTTAAACAATACTTTGATACACCTCTCTTATGATGGCATTTGTATGCACAAAACACCCAGAGACCTTTTAGTGTTTGAAATGGCAGAATGTGTAGCAGATTGTGGCAAAAAGGTAGTAGATTTAAGAATTGTCTAAGAATACAAATGATGAAGGAAATCTCAACATTTATTTGAGTCGATTTGGGTTTAAGTTGGAAACAGTGCATGAGTGTCCCCACCAATAGAAATTTTGTTGTGCCTGGGCATAGCAATGGCCTTACTGCTTTTTCCCACATTAAGAAAAATACTTTATTTTCAGAAAAGTGTTTTATTAATTAAAAAAAAAATCTTTGGACCAGGGGCGGTGGCTCATGCCTGTAATCCCAGCACTTTGGGAGGCCGAGGTGGGCGGATCATGAGGTCAAGAGATCAAAACCATCCTGGCCAACATGGTGAAACCCCGTCTCTACTAAAAAATACAAAAACTAGCTGGCCATGATGGCGCACGCCTGTAGTCCCAGCTACTGAGAGGCTGAGGCAAGAGAACTGCTTGAACCTGGGAGGCGGAGGTTGCAGTGAGCCAAGATCACGCCACTGCACTCCAGCCTGGCACCTGGCGACAAAGCAAGACTGTCTCAAAAATAAAAAATAAAAATTCTTTGGGTCGAAAAGAGAGACAAAAATAAGTATTGGTGAGGATATGAAAAAATCAGAACCCTCATACCCCGCTAGTGAAAATGTAAAATGGCACAGCCACTTTGGAAAACAGTGTGGCAGTTCTTTAAAATGTTAAACAGGCTGGAGGCAGTGGTTCACACCTGTAATCCCAGCATTTTGGGAGACTGAGGCAGGTGGATCCCAAGGTCAGGAGTTTGAGACCAGCCTGGCCAATATAGCGAAACTCTGTCTCTACTAAAAATACAAAAATTAGCCAGGTGTGATGGTGCATGCCTGTAGTACCAGCTACTCAGGAGGCTGAGGCAGAAGAATCACTTGAACCTGGGAGGCGGAGGTTAAAGTGAGTCAAGATTGTGCCACTGCACTCTAGCCTGTGTTACAGAGCGAGACTTCATCTCAAAGAAAAAAAAAAAAAAAAAAAAAAAAAACCAGAAAAAAGTTAAACATCAAGTTACTATATGACCCCATAATTTCACTCCTGGGTATATACCTAAGAGAAATGAAAACAGATGTCCACACAAAAATT